TTTTTACGTTATTACTCGGGCTACCGTAGGTAGACCGAGTTGTAAAATGGGCTCCGTTTTTTCTTTTGCGTTGCGAGTTTACAAAAATCACCCGTGGGAGGCACGAAGTATTCGAACCAATCGAAATCGTCCTAGGATCGTTTCTCGCGCGGGCGTCACGAACATGCCATGTTACTACGAGATAACTGTAGCCCGAGTGATCGCCTGAGTAGGCGTCTTGTTACTGCGTCGCGCACTGCGCGAACGCAGTCTTAAATTGCCGTCGGTGTTATGTTTTTTTTGTTTTTTTTTGTGTTTTTTACGTTTTCGACCCGGTCTACCTGGCCGCGCAGGCCAACTAAAGATAGTCGTATTTTGAACTCGTTTGATTTCGTATCGAAATATTTTTGTGCTAAACACACTTCAAATAGTAACCTAAGCCTAGTAACCCCCACAAAAGAAATATTTGACTGAAAAAAAAAATTGAAAAAGTTTGTTGTCGCCGGGATTCGAACTCCGGTCGTGCGAACCAAAAGCAGGAAACAGCATGCACGATACACGTCATATAAAATAACACGTACACGAGTCGCTGTGTCAGTCGCTGTGCATGGCCGATAGCGCAGGAAATCTAGACGTCTGTCGTTCGAGAAAATACATACAGGTAATCATAATGCTGGATTCTCGACTTGTCTTGTTTGATATGCTCACTCTGCATACACTAGCACACACTGATGATGGTAAACCTACACTAAAACGGGTTTACAGACAACGATCACATGAATCATGAAGCCTTGTATGCCATGAAAGCCTTGTATGCTATGAAAGCCTTGTATGCCATTCTATGCCATTTTTCAATCAAACCGCACTTTCCCCTCAAGGGTAAAAACGGCCAGACCGATCCTATTGAATTTCAGTACAAACTGATTCCCAGAGTACATGATTCCAAACTCAGCCTTATTCACGTATATCGTTAGCTACATATGCCTAGCACCAATAATGCAGTTTTACCCGTATATTCTGTACGAAGTGCTCTATTTACTAGAAAACTTAAGAAAGAAACATTTTTCTAAAGGAATGAATATTGACAGGAAATGGGGCACAGTTGCATGCAACGATTGGCGCGACGCAGTAACCGCCAGAATTGGCGTCTTGTTATTTAAACAACATGGTGTTATTTAACGCATATGTCAACAAATCCATACTAAAATATTTGATTTAGAATTCTACGTGCGCGTGTACGTGCGTATGAAAAACCACAATGTAAATTTATACTTATGATAATAATATAAACTAATTAAGATAAACAAAAGCAACCACTTAAATATGCAGAACATTAATACAGCTCTAAAGCGCAATAGATATAAGCACCTCTGGGAATTGAAAATGGCTCTTAATCCTTCATTTACAATGCTAAAGGTCATTTTAGCTGAGCTATGGTGCAAACCCGAACAATATTAATATTCTTGCATATTTAAGTGGTTGCGTTTTTTTTGGGACACCCTGTATATCTTCTAGAGTTCTAGCGGGGTACCTAAATATCGAGGCAGGATTCAAGTCAGGACTCAAGTCAGGACTCGAGCCAGGACTCGAGTCAGGACTCGAGGTCAGGACTCGAGCCAAGGACTCGAGCCGACAAGCTCCAAATAAATGACTCATGACTGATGGAAACTTCTATTGCCGTCTTTCCCGCGTGCCTGCTGGCGTGTCCCGTGTGCGGACAAATTTTAAGGGCTTTTGTTCATTCGCTCCAGAATAAAGTGCCACGAATGAACAAAAGCGCTTAAAATTTGTCCGCACAAGAGAAAAATTTGCTTACGCCAACAGCCACGAGTGACTATTAGCTCGGCTAGTTGCTCTCGTGTGCAGCAGGTTTTAAGCAGACTAGAATTTTTCCGAATTCGTTAAATGTGATTTTTTATGATACCATTTTTTGAGTCCACAATTTTTAAATCGCTAAATGAATTCAACTGAAACAGAACTATGCAAAACTTCTAGTTAGTCAGCAACATTGTATTGGTCGCATAGCGTTAGAAAGGCTAATTCTTTTACCATTACGGTGCATGCACCATTAAATCGTAAAAATTTGAAAGTTAAAACAATGGATAATAGAAACACAATGTGTTTTTATTCTCCATGCAATGGTCAGAAATGAAAATTAACGTTTTTCATCCGATATTTTGGACAGCAATTGCCTGTTGGTTACGAGTTATGTTACCCCCAATTTTTATTTCATAAAGTGATTTATTATAAAATCAACTATATATCATCCAAATATGGCGGATTGGTCGCATTGCGTGAGAAAGGTTAATTGACTCGAGTCCTTGACTCGAGTCCTTGACTCGAGTCCTGGCTCGAGTCCTGGCTCGAGTCCTGGCTCGAGTCCTGACTCAAGCAATAGTATATCTCGAGTTCTAGGCTATCTTAATGTCAATGAAATGCAGCGTGATAAAGGAGATCGAGATCATATTTTAGGCTATTTAGCCAAGGGCTGTTTTCCACTTCACTTCACTTGCAAACAGCTTTCCACTCTCGCGCCTTTTTACGTGTGGAAGAATTTAAATGCTTCCAAAAGTTATTATTTAACAACATGGTGTTATTTAACAAACGGGTCAACAAATCCATACTAAAACATGCGGAAGACTAAGTTGTTTCGATTTCTAAACCTAGATTTTTCAAATTTGACGTGTTATAAGGATTTAGAATTTTACGTGCGCGTGTACGTGCGTATGAAAAACCACAATGTAAAATTATACTTGTGATAATAAATTAATTAAAACAAACACAAATGCCACAAATCTATCAGTGCATGCAACCTAATATTTGTATCATTATCGGCGTCAACAAACCAGGATACCAAAAAACAGGATGTTTTTAGCACCTATTTAATTACAATTGTTTACTGCGGTTTGAGCCACTTGAAGGAAAATTTTCTTCCCTTTTTTTGGCTTAATTACAAGGCATGCATCCTAATATACCTGTAATCCAATCGTCAATTCTGCATAGACACAGGGGGCGTTTGTATAACGGCGGTTATAAATAAGTTCAATTGAATAGAATGCAAGTCTATCGTTATATTCAACAATCGAACTACATGTTTTTAACCTTGAGCCCGTAATACAAAGATACTGTTTATATACAACTAGTCTACATATTCAGTTCATATAATAATTAAACTCACTCATTCAATAGAAGAGAGATGTTTATTTTATCCGATTTATTCGTTTTAGATCCTCTGTTTAAGTTAACGGGCTAAATAGCCTCAACAGGCCCCAGGACAACAACGCGGCTTCACTCTTAATGAATGCTTGGATAAAGAGTTTTGTATAATTGTTTGTTACTCCAGGAAATTTAACGTGGCATAAGATGTTAAAAACTGTTTAGTCAGTCTAAGCACGTCAGCAGCTGAAATTATTTAAATGTACAATATAAATACAGAATATTGAGAATTAACTGGTGCTTTCAGACCAATCAAGAACGACAATACACACAAAATGCATAATAACAGACATTATAATTATTTGACAATTAATCATAACAATGCATATAGTATTGCATATGTTAACTAGATACTAAATACACAAATTTAATTCTTATTTAATTCAATATACAATTAGCATATATCTATATAGAGGAAAAGTCCAGCCACTATGGAAGTTTAAACCCCAGATGGTTTCACGAGAGGTTTCAAGGCGAACTCTGTTGTTCCGATCCACTTATTCTCTGTTGAGATCAAGCGCCAGTACTTAGCTGTGACTGGTGCAGAAAAATGGCGAGTGACCGTTCTGTTTCCAAATGGAGTCTTAATTTTAGCAATCTAGAAAAAGGAAACATGTATATGTTTTGTATATGTTTTGTATATGTTTTGTATACGTTTTGTATATGTTTTTGCATATGTTTTGTATATGTTTTGCATATGTTTTATATATGTTTCGTATATTATGTTTTGTATATGTTTTGTAGTATGTTTTGTATATGTTTTGTATATGTTTATAATTTGTATATGTTTTGTATTATGGGGGTTGATATATAATATCACTCCCCAAGAGAATATCCTATATATATAGGAGCAAGGTTGATACAATATGTAACATTTTTTGCTTTTAGTTTATGTATTTCATTTGCTCAATAACGATATTCAGATATGTGGCCGTTTAATAGGCATAGGCAAGCTAGCTAGCTATTTATGGGGTATGTATATTTCTGTTATACTCTACATCTGTGTTATGTGCATTAACGTATTGAGCAATTGATTGCTATATCCCTTATAGAACAACTCATTTACCTTTTCCCATTTTCGTTCATCCGAAAAATATTCCAAATCCATATAACCATAATCTTCTCTGGTTTCATGGCCCCAAGACGGTATAAATCCTCCGGCTAACGTAACCGAGGTGGCGTAGACAGGATAGAAATATTTTGCTCTTATATAGTTCCCAGTCTTCGCTGTCTCGCTTCCCCAACCGCCAGTATCTGATCTACCATCAGTCAAATCACGTGATGTTACGCGATAGAGATCGTAAAAGTAAGCGTTTTCCAAAACATAGTAATCATTCAATAAAGACTTCAAGACCTCTTCTTTTATCTATATTAATTGGAGTGGGAAGAATGTCAGATATATTGGTTTTAAAGGACAATTTTTCCGTGGTCTTATTTTAGGCCAATCATGAAAATTTTGCCGATTCTACCTTTACCTCCTATTTAAATTCATTGACTACGAAAAATAGTTATGAGCTATAATTATATCGAGGATATTCATAAGACAGCATGTAAATATAACAATAGTGATAAGGTTATACGCAAGTCTTTATCTTGAAAGTCGATGATAAACATGTCATATACAGTAATATACTGGTTGTCATTTCGAATTTCGGGAGTGAATAAAGAAAAAAGTAAAATTTAAACAACTTCTCTACTTCACTACTAAATTTTAAAGTAAATAATACGCGCTTAATAATAGCTCATAAAGAAAGTAAGTAGTACGAGCTAAATAATAATAGCTCTTAAAACGTGCTAAATATAATAGCTCATAAAGAAAGATCTTTCCAGTTTTGCATGCTAGAATGAATGCTTCGCTTTCAAAAGATTTCACCTTGGGGCCTGTTTCTCCAGGTGATCCACGCTCGCCCTACAAATATGAAAAGCAATATTGCAAACATAAATAACGACTAAGTCACATGAGTAGTCGGTGATTGAACAGAAGAAGATGCAGAATGCTAATGCTTGTATGTGGTATCACGCGCAGGAATGAGGCGAGACTAATGAATCGAAAGCTTAATGATGTTGCTTGTACGATATCCTATCAATTCGCATTACATTCATATACTGTTACCTTCATACCACATATCCATAATTTTGATGCGACTCAATGAGATTTTCTTCTGTTGATTGATGTGAACGAGCGAATTACTAATGTTTTCGCTATCGACATTTTTCAGAAGCGCACGCGTCCTCCGTTCTACGCAATTCTCAAAAAAATTCGGACGCCAAATGCAGAAAGTGAGACTTTTGGTATGTTTATTCTGTGATTTTACCTTCCAGCCGAGGGCTCCTACATATCCAGCGTCACCCTAAATAAGAAAGAGCCGGTCAATTCCAACTGATATTGTAATTTCCTCAGAAGAAAAACGACTGGAGAACTAGGTGCACCGTAATTTAGACTATAATAGACAATTATACAAAACAATATAAAAACAATGCGGATTGATTTTAAGCCACCTATAGCTCAGATATTGCATCTTTTGTAATGGACAGATGATGTAATCACAGTTTACTTTAATTAGTTGTGTCGAGAGGACGAGGTTACTGACGGCATAATTACCCTAGGCCCAGAAAGGGTGCGGGCTATACCTTGTTCCGGACAAAAGTGTCGCTAAAATATTACAATCACAGTGAAAATTTGAAGTTCAACGATGTTTACCTCCACTCCCATTTCTCCGACGACTCCTTGCTCACCCTGTATATAATAATATTATTATAACTATTCATCGCAGGAGAACACGCAAAGTTAATTTTTTTAAGCTTAAAAAGGCTTTCAGTGCATTGCAATGGAATGGAAAAAATGAACATGTATGCATGCAATAGTTTGAATTAGCGGACTTCACCACGGTTATATAAATGCGCATATATAGCATTCAAATTATAGCCTGTAGAGCAGCTCATTTGTTCTCAGTTAATTTTAGGAGGAAACGAGCAATGCAGACACATGTCTATTTTCAGTTATATTTTCTATATTCTAAATAAATAACATCATATAAAAAGTTACGATTAGCTCCGCTTTTCACAATATTGATACTTCGTGCAACAGACAAGTAAACTCAACGAGTGATGTCAAACACGAAATTATATAGTCCCATATTATTGATGTTTATTGATTATCAACTTAAACATATTACCTTCATACCTCGCTTTTTGTTGCTGATGCCATCAAGGCCTGGAGCTCCCTGCAATGCGATATATATCGAAACACGAACTACTACTTTAATAACATAATATGATTGTTATATATATCGGTGCTGTGTAATTTAAATGTGATTGGTTAATTCGTAGTCACATGACTTGAATAAATGTAATGTTTCCCGCCAGGGAAACAAGTGAAAAATTGTTGCCCGCTTGCCCCGGCCCTCAAGTCTCAGACTCTTGGGAAAACAAAACTCACTATTTTCCTCGGGAGCATACATTAAGTGTACATTATTTGTTCCTATAACTATGCGATAACCTTTGGTGTAATATAAATGCAAGATAAAATTTATTCGGAGTCTATATACTGAAAATGTTGTAAAATTATAAGCGGTGCCTGGCTCTCATTGTTAATAACGTTTCTGGAAATGTTTTGGAAATATCGTAAACTACTGAAACCATATAACTCACAGTCATTCCAGTTTCTCCACGGATCCCCTGAAATCAAGTTTATCAAAATATCAGGTTAAAAATGAATATGAACCTGTGTACAGCATTTATCATTGTTGCCGGTATAAGTTTCAAGTCCCGAGTAAAATCGTCCTTGAATTATAAATATACACTTGGCCTTGGGATTTATGATTCATATTCATAAGGTAATTTTTTAAACATGCATAAGATAAATTTTTATCCCAACTTTATTTTGGTTTGACATTTTCGTTAAATAACTTCCTACCTTTCTTCCTTTACGCCCTGGTTGGCCATCTACACCCGCGGCCACCCTTCATCACCCTAAAAATAATTAAAGTCGTCCTTCCATATAATCAGGCCCGGAGCCACGGGAGCCTGAGATTCAGTCGGTAAAATTGCTATTTTAGTCGGCAGACGAAAATATTTTTGACACTATAGACCGATGCAATATAAACTTGACAACTGAGTTTTATCTGAGTCGGTACAAAATCTACAATCGACTAAAATTAACTAAACTCTTAAAACGACTTACTTGAGTTGGGGTAACATGATCACCAGGCTCACCTCGATTACCCTATAAAATGTAACACAAATGCGAAATGCTGATTTCCTCCTTCAAAGCAATATAAGCGACGATGACCCACTGGCCATCGAAAAAGCAAGTTTCGATTACGAACGTAAACGGTAGCTCGGACACCTCCGAGATGGTGCGACAAATCATCGCACTCGTTCGCCGGCATCGCTGATGCACAATTAGATAATAGGGAGTTTGCGCAAGGCAACGAAGTACGAAGACGAAGACAAACATCACAGTTTTTTAGCGTCTGCGCATCATCTGCGCATACTCTGCTTAAGGTCAGCGGTGAGGGTTTAACGTCTTCGTCCTGTTGTCTTGGTTTAGAACGAATATTTTGACAAAGTTCGTTGTGGTCAGAACCAAGTTTTCAAAGTAAGATATATTCAAGCCAAATCTTGAATAGTTCTTGTATGGAATATAAATGTTGTTTGAGATTTTTAAACCGTAAAGAAGCATTAACATCTTCCAAAGAATCTTCTGAAAACATTGCTAAAATAGCCATCTCGTATTCAGCTCTTTTACAAAAATTAGTACCGTGTTCGTAGTCGTATAACTTTGACAGAACTGCTCAATTCAAATATCCCGCTGCACGAAGACTTAAGACGAAGACTATACTATTCCCAGTCTACCTCGGCCGAAACACGTCCTCGTCTTCGTCTTCGTACTTCGTTTCCTTGCTCAAACTCGCTAATATCACCTCCGATCCGGGTGATACACTCTGGTAATAAATTAGTCAACATACCTTCAATCCAGGCGGACCCGCTGGACCATCTCTTCCTTTTAAAGCGTTTAACATCTGCATTCATAAATAAAACAAAGGTTAAATGCAAGTATTAAAAGCACTTTGCTGGATTAATAATAATATATAATGACAAAGTTTTTTTTCAAGAGAATGCCGTCGCAGCTGTTACATGTAAAATATGCGATTTTTAATCCGAATGCACAATCTGGCTTCAAGTCTTATACAAAACTTCATTTCGTGATTAGAATCCGGGGTCATCAGAATCTACTTAAGATTAAAATCAATTAAAACCCATTTTGTGTCCTGCAAAACGTAGCTACAGTATTTAAATTTAACCCGGTTGTTTCGCAAACCTACCTAATCTAGCACATGCAGTAAGTAAGCGTCATTTCAAAACCGGCTTCAATTGCGTCTTGTGTTGTACTATACAATAGCTGTTTATTTATACAAACCTCATCCTCATTAACACAGACCACGCTGTCTTTTGATATATTTTCTGATACATGTTCTTTAAATACTATTGCAAACAAAATAAACTGCACTGCGAGCTTCATGGCGAATGAAAACATAAATACAGTGTATTCAGCATAAACTCGTTCAAGCCCTCAGTTTGTTTTGTACAGTGATTTGTTCCGATAGGAAAGATCTTTAAAAACAATTTTTCCGGGTGTTGACATGATATCAATTAAAGTGCAACAGGGGGTAAATTTTATTAGGCACGTTATCAACACAAGCTTGAATTAAGGGCTATAAAAAAGCGGAAGAAATTTTGACGTTGAGAACTGGATAGCACTTTCTCAATCGTTAACGAGGGTCGAAGCTCGAGGCTCGAGGAAGAAATATAAACAATTTCGCAAGAAGTATACCGATCGCGCACTGAATTTTCCTAGCACTGCATGTTGCTTTACATCGTACACTATACGCGCTGATGCAAAAGAGCGTGAATTGCGAGTTCAATGCAGTTTTCGAGATAAGTGCATGATCGATGAACCATCAAATATATTTATGAACCCTTTTTTTTAAATTTAATTGCCCATATATACATCACCTAGCTCTATTTACAATATAAATTCCTTAATATATGGCTAAAGGCCTACCAGAAACCTTTAGAGGTTTTTATTCAAGGCCCCTAGTTATAAAAATTTTAAGAATAAAATTCTATATTTTCTGTCAACTAAATTTTAGAGAGTTGATTATCAGTGTATTAGGAATATATAAAAAGAGAAGAAAATAATCCTCGCTTGAACTATGAATCCACGACTGCGATCATATTAATAACATTAATCAATCACCATCATCGAATACAGCATGTTTACCAGACGATTATAATTGACCCAAAAAACTTCCTATGCTAATTTCTTTCTAATTTTTGAATGCGTTCACGCTGTCATCACCGGACACTGGGTCACCAGGGTCTTCTGGCACCTACAATATATTTAACCTAAACACCTCACTTAGCAATTTTAGCCCATCTCGACGATACTGTGGTGTTTTAGACTGAGATAATTATGAATGAAATTGTGTTGTTTCTTCTGTTAATGTCGATAACCAACGACGTTGCTGCGTCAGGAAACAGTGTCAACACGACTGATCAAAAAACGATTTGTGCACAAAGAGCTGATGTGAGTATAAATAATATGTGCACTTCTTTGAGTATATAGCGCCACTTTATCAAAGCTCGATTGTGTTAAACCTACATTTCAATTTGCTGTTTTGATGCATTTTTTCTCATTTTTAAAAATAATTTCAACATTTCTGAAAATAAACGAACGGCTGACAGTCAAAAATTAAAGTTGTATCGGGGATATTATTTTGGCGTTGAGCATTGGGGGCTCAAGGACTGGCGTGAGAAATCATACCTTTTACTTTTTATCCTGAGAAATTTTCCTGAGCTAAATAATTTACTGCATGTAAATACGTATTGTAACAAATCAATTGTTAACATTTTCAGTTTTACCTAGATCATAGTTTCTGGTCAGTTGTCATGCTAATGACAATATCACTTGTCAAATTTGTCTGGTTTATGTGGTCATAGGTTGAAAACAGATTCAAATTTGACCAGTCCTATGTGTTCACAAAGTCATTCACATTTTAGTTGAGTTTTGGATAGTACCATTGCATATATATGCATTGCGCATATTTTATTATGAATTAAAATATGTTTAAAATATGTTTCAAATTTTGAAACAAGCGTAATTTTGAAATAATTACGCTTGTTACGCTTATTATTTTGTAATTTTGGAGCCTGTACTGCACTGCAGTATGGAACAAAAATGGCTTTCGTATTTAAAATTATACCAAAACAAAACACCAGAGCTTCTTGTAATTTTAAAACTATCATTTTAAGCGCGCGTTTAAATGAAATTCAATTGTTGATCGTAATTGCTTTAATTGCTTCTCCAAGACAGTATTGTTGATCGTAATTGCTTTAATTGCTCCCCCCAAAGGCCAAAACAGTTTAGTTTGACGCAAATGGAATATATGAAACCATAACTGACAAAAATGCTCTGTGTGACGTACCCCAGAGTCTGAGCACGGAAAAAAGACCCTAGGTACGAGGTTGATGCTGCCGTTGGATAAATATACAAGATATTGAATGTTATGCATGCACAAACTACAGGCAGAAGTTTTAAAAGTTCTCATCTGGAAAGCGGTCACATTATATAGATATCACATTAAATTATCTTAATATTATATGAGATTAATCTTAAATATAATATGAGATTTTAAAGAATATATAAATGTTGTTACATTTTTGTTTCTAACAGACACTTAAACTATTGTATGGACACGATGGCCAACCTGGTGTGCCAGGAGCAAAGGTGCGTGAAATAAGCTTAGTCTTTCAAGGCGACTCTTTAGGTTAATATGTGCATTTCTTTTAATTGATTTATGTGTATGACTTCATTATATTAACTTAGGATAATAACGTTGACATGAATCAAAGATAGTTAACAGTTACGTAATAGTTTTCGTAGTTGCATGCATAATAGTTTTGTTCACATTTTCACATAGTTTGTTAATTCGGTTTGTGGTAGTCACGTGGAAAAAGAACAAAGACAGCCGACGGTGTTGGAGCGAAAGGTGGCTGTACTACGAGTTGCAGGACCTGTTGTCACCCTAAGAGGTTTCAAACAAGCTACGAGCCGAAGACTGAGAACAACGGCGCCATCAGAGTTTCAAGAGGCGGTAGAAAGTCTTGAAGGAAGTGGGTATGGTAAGGTCGTTTGTCTACGCACTGCAAGATCTGCTTCGCAAACAATGTTTTTTATAAAGAAAAGCCCAGAATGTATTCCTGATGG